AGTGCGCAACACAGCTCCAGCTGTATACGCTTCTTACTAAGTGGCCACGCAATTATATATAATAAACAGTACAAATCCCATGGCATTCCGTATGGGAATGAACATCATGCATTTCCATAGGACATTGCAGACATCACACACATTATGCCATTTTGCTTCACCACAGTCCTAAGATACAGGCATCATTATTTCCATCTCACAGAGGAGGAATGAGACTCTGAGACGTACAAATGATGAGCAACAGCTAGAGTTAGGGTTGGTGCCATTGGTGTTCGCTTCTGCCCAGCTAAACTTTGTAAAACTTAGAACTCCCCAGTGTCAGGGCTGGTGGGATCATTGGGGTTATGCAGTTATGCAACTAACTGCTTCTCAACCTTCTTTAATCTATTGCCCCTTTTGATGTTATTCAAAATTCCCGAATCAGTTAAATATTTTGTTGAAAAAAATCAAAGTTATTATAATACTGAATATGTTTTCCAAGTTAACACTCAGGGAGTCTGATGCAGTCTGCCTCCTGAGAACGATGGATGCCAAGTCCCTCGTGTGCATGCCAATCGGCCGTAGGCACCCTTTCCTTTAGTGGGTCTAAGCGTCAGTGTGTTTGAGAAAACGAACCATACATAGTATCAGGGGAAATCAGCAGATTTCCCAGATCAGCACAGCAGACAGCAAAAATAAAAAATCTTTGATTGTATTACAGTTATTTAAAAGAAATGTGTATCACATATAGTTCATTTATACCTATATTTTATATACATGTCATAATATTGCCCAGGTGCCAAAATTTTCATCTCCCAACTTGAGAGAACCATTGTTGGGATGGGACACATGACTGTGAAATGCCTATTTCTTTTCCTTCACCCTCTCTGGCTGTTGTCTAACATTCAACGCTAAGGTATTATTTTTAGTTAGAGCCTCAATCTTTGATAAAATGCACATTCTCCCAAAAGACGAATTATTAAAGCTCTCCTCTGTTACCCTTAACTAGAAATAATTGAAGAAAAGGTAAAACAACTTTGGGACTGATAGGATCATCTAGGGAGATAAATATCCCAGAAAGGCAAAAATTAGGGACTGAACTTTCTAGCTTTGGGAGAAGGGGAGTTTCAGAAGGCCCGGGGCCTAGCAGAGGCATTCTCTGATTCTTATGTAAAATTTTTAGAGAGATTTTGATTTTGTGAGATTTTTGCATTGAAGTAGTATAGTCCCACCAAGATTCTGCTTTCTCCAAGAACCCGTGCTGCTGGGAAATGCCACAGAATTCTTGTGCAAACCTCTTGCTTGCCTTCTTGCCAGGACTGGCTGCCGGCCACATCAGCATGTTGGTCTTTGGAGATGAAACACGCAGCTACTTTCTGGTGGCTGGTCAGACGGTGGATGATGTGCGCCGTGCACAGAACATGGCACAGATGAACGATGTCATCTTGTCACCAAACTGCTGGCAGCTCTGTGACCGGAGCATGGTTGAAATTGAGAGGATTCCAGATCAGAGAGCAGTTAAGGTAGGTGTGGTGCTGCTGTCTGCAGAACGTTCTGCTGGTCTGCGCCAGAGGCTACCTGCCAGAAGAGCCACTGGCAAGGCTAGTTCCATGGAGCTCCTGGGCTGGGGTCAGTCCGGGTGAGGAGGATAAGGAGGCCACAGTCCAGGACAATTCTTCTGGGAGGAGCCAAGGCTGGTGCACTCCAGGAGGAAATGATTAGGCTTTTCTGTGGATAACGTAGGATGTGGAATTTGGGTATTGAGGCTTTTCGGGAGGCTAGTGACCTTGGCTGAAAGACAAGGGAGGGTCTGGTGGCTCCCCCAGGAGCAGCGGGGAGCAGTTTAGAGGGCTGCCATTGGCCCTCGCTTTCTCTACCCAACAGCCTCCTCGCCCAGGGCAAAGGATCACTGAGGGGAGAGTTGGAGGTGAGCAATGCAGCAAAGTCCAGTGAGGGGAGAGAGACCTCCCCATGGCTCTGCCTCATAGAAAACACTGTGCTTAAGTTGAAGGTTGACTACCAGCAGAACTGTCCCTGGAGAATGGCCAGTTAGGGAAACTGCTTTGAGGGTATGAAGGGCGAGGAGATCCGTGTGCTGGATAAGCCAAAGGAATTGCCTACATGGCAGAAAGAAGGAAAAGACCCAGGGTCCATGGGGGTGCTGGTGAAGAGAGGAGGCAGGCCCCCCACAACCTCGGCACCTAAGCCAGGCATAACCTAGCTGGCCCATGGCAGTACCCCACTCCCCACCTGAATTCATTTTAGACTTACAGAAAAGTTGTAAAAATAATACAGAGTTTCCACAGATCTCTCATGTACCTTCCCTTGATGTTAACATCTTACATAATCAGTGCAATAGTTAAAACCAGGAAATTAACATTGGCACCATACTGTTCGTTAAGTAAAGGCCCTTATTTGAATTTCACCAGTTTTTCCACTCATGTCCTTCATGGAAGGTTCCAGTTCTATACATGATATTACATTGCATTTTGTTGTTATTTGTACTTAGTCTCCTGCAGTCTTTAACAGTTCTTCAGTCTCTCCTTGTCTTTTATGCCCTTGACACTTAAGAAGAATACTGATCAGTTATTTTGTCAAATGTCTCTCCACTTGGTTTTGCCTGATGCTTTCTCATTATTAGACAAAATCAATGCACTTTGTTTTGGGAAGAATACCACAGAGATGAGGTTGTGCTGGGAGTGGTGGCTCACACCTGTAGTCTCAGCTACTCAGGAGGCTGAGGCAAGAGGATCGCGTGAGCCCAGGAGTTGGCTGCTGTGAGCTATGATCATGCTGCTGTACTCCAGTCTGGGTGAGAGTGAGACTTTGTCTCTAAAAAAAAAAAGAAAAGAAATGAGGTTGTGCCATTCTCAGTGTATCATATCATGGGGTTCATGATCTTGATATGTCTTATTACTGATGATGTCCCTTATACCTCTTTGGACATCAGCCCCCTTTGTCCTTTAATATTTTTTAAAAATAAATAGTGTACAGTTGAACCAGGTTTTATTTGAATTAAAATATTATGAAGGAAAAAAAAGCAGAAAAAAGTTCTGAGGGTAGAAAAGTATAAAGGTTAGCCCTCCAGAATGGTCCTCTATGTGTATATACTAAATATTGAGATCTGAACAAACAATGTAATTGGAAAGACTTCTACAATTTTCAATTTTACCAATTAAAGATCTTTAGTGTTTACGTATGCCAACCACCATTTATCATTTTCTAGACATTCAAAAGCAAACGCCCCAGGTCGGGCGCGGTGGCTCACACCTGTAATCCTAGCACTCTCGGAGGCCAAGGGGGCGGATTGTTCAAGTTCAGGAGCTCAAAACCAGCCTGACCAAGAGCGAGATCCCATCTCTACTATAAATAGGAAGAAATTAATTGGCCAACTAAAAAAAAAAATAGCTAGAAAAAATTAGCCGGGCATGGTGGCGCATGCCTGTAGTCCCAGCTACTCGGGAAGCTGAGGCAGGAGGATTGCTTGAGCCCAGGAGACTAAGGTTGCTGTGAGCTAGGCTGACGCCACGGCACACACTCTAGCCTGGGCAACAAAGCGAGACTCTGTCTCAAAAAAAAAAAAAAAGCAAACACCCTGACTTTCTGCTGAGAAATTACCCTCAAGGACTAGACAACCCTCAGGAAAACCAAAAACTTCTCCTTTTATTTTATTTAGGTTAACTTCTTAAAACCACCTCCTACTTTTAACTTCGAAGAATTTTTCGCCAAGTGTATGACTTTCATGAATTATTATCCTTCTGGTGACAACAAAAGTAAGTACCTTCCATGGACAAGAGCCTTTGGCCCCCACAGCAGGCAGTAGGGTCTTAAACCAATGCCAACGGCTCCATTACAAGTGGCTGGACCCTCAACATGGCTCCTGGTCCTTACCAGCACTCCAAGGGGACCTACTTCCCATCCCCCAGAACAGCGATTCTAAGTATGACTCTGCTCACGCCTTCCACCTGTCCCTAGGCACTGGCCCCTTTCCCTTGCCTGCCAAACATTTGTAAATCTCCCTCATGATGGAAGAAAAAAACAAAGCTTCTCGAAATCCACTTCTCCCTCCTAACCATCACAAACAACCTTGTTGGAAGAGTAATCTCTGTAAATTTATCTGTACCTGTTCTTCTATCCCCTCGATCATTTATTCGCCCAATAAACACTGACCGCAAGCGCCTCAGGGTCGGTGCTCACCTGCTCCTTGGTCTGCTCCTTGGTCCCCTGACGTCCAGCTTCTACCCTGTCCCCTTCTATCTGCTGATACTGTTTATGTCGAGGCCCCCAATGACCTACCACCAATGATACCACCTTCCTCCTTTTTCTTTGGGTTCAAGAGTATTCTTCTCTAGTTTTGCTTTTACCCCTCAAACCACCCATGTTCAGTGCCCTTTGCTCATGTTCCTTCCCATTCCTTAAATGTTGGTGACTTTAGGGATCTGTCCTTGACCTTCTAGTCTTCTTACTCTGTAAGCCACTTGTTCACACTTAACTTTCATATTACTAGGGTGAGGCAAGTGGGAAGGCTAGGGCACAAAGTCTAAGAAGGCACTCACTCTTAAGGTCCCACAAATTGCATGCCTCACCCATGTCCTGGCCCTAACTGCCTGTGTCAGCCCAGTCCTTTGTCCTGAATTCTAGACAGACTTTTGTTCTGAATTCATTAAAAAAAAAAAATTATCTATGGGCCATCTCCAAGGATGTCAAATAAGCACCCAACATGAACATATCTAAATGTTAAGCCATTTGTCCTTCTCTAAAAACTGCTCCTTCATCCAAACTAGAAATCTCAGAAACATCTTTGACGCATTTTTCCTCTTCACTTACGTACAGGTCGGGAATGTCTTGAATGTCACAAATAGTAATCATACTTTGACGAAGCTGTATTGGTCATGGCGTGGGGTGGGGAGTGGGGTGCTGCAGGGATATTGGTCAGGAAAGACCAAGAGCCCCACAAGCTCCAGGTGAGACGAAGGGGAAAGCCCAGTGACCCTCCTTGAGCTTTGCCCCATCTCATCTCCTCGAGCTTAATGCTGCCTCTGTAAAGGGTTTCTTCGGGCCTTATTTTCGGTTCTGCGATACTGCAATGCAATTCGGATGCCAACTACCTGGAGTCAGTGCAGGATGCCACAGGTTGAGTCCTCTACCAACTCCCTCACTTCCGATACCAGCTGCAAGCTCTGGAACCCCCAGGCGGCCTGAACCTCCGACCAACAGGCTACAAGTTTGGGGATCTCCTCAGTGCCCTGAGGCTCAATAATTTACTAAAACGACTCACAGAACTCAGCAAAGTGCTACACCGAGGGCTGTGGTTTTATTAGAGAGGATACAAATCAGGACCAGCCAAATAAAGAGACACATAGAGTGGGCTCTGTGAGGGTCCCAAACACAAAATGTTCCGGCATCCTCAGGAAGCGTCACCCTCCTAGCACATGGATGTATCATCACCAGTCAGGGAAGCTCGCCGGAACTTCAGGGTCCAGAGTTTTTATTGGGGTTTCATTACATAGACATGATTAGTTGGATAATTGGACACATGATTTTTTTTTTTTTTTTTTTGAGAAGGCAGGGATTAAAATCTGTGCACTTGGGCAGACTCGGGACAAATTAGGGAAGCCCCTCCCACGTGCGACCCCTCTGTCGTCTGGAGGAAGCAGAGTCGCAGGGTACAGCGCCCCGACTGACTCTCCCGGAGGCGCCTGACCCTAGACTCAGGCTCCGCCGGGCCGAAGAGCTACTGCATTTACTCAAAAGGGGAGGTTTACACCTCGTGCGCACTCGAGATCAACTCCCCAATGCCATGCAAAGGGCGCTAGGCCGACTCGTCCCGGCCCACTGACCTTTACTCTCCCCGCCCCAGAGGCCCGCATGTCTTTGCCAGTGCAGCCCGGATCTGGTCTTGGACGCATGACTGAACTCAGTCTCCAGCCCTCTCTCCCCTCTTGGCTCAAAGTCCCAACCTTCTAGTCACATGGTTGGTCTTTCTGGCCAGCCCCTGTCCTGAGTCAGCTCATTAGCTGTGAACTCGGGGGGCTCTGGAGGGCCCACCATGAATAAGGAAAGACTCTCCTATTCCTCTGGGAAGTCCAAGGACTTAGAGTTTAACTCCCTGGAACCCGGAACAAAGACCGGCTGAATTCTTTGTTATATGTCAGGGACGTACCTCTCCACAATCACCATGCCCTCAGGGTCCAGGCCTTTACAACTGCTCCCTTCTTCCTGAGCTCCTTTCCTCTGTCTGTTCAATGTCATTTCCTCCTAACCTTCAGTACTCACATGGGACTCCAGCCAGGCTAGTCTTCACAGTCCTTCAACACACTGCTCATTCTAGGCTTTACCCTATGTGGTTTGCTCTGCCAGGCACGCCCTCCTCGATCCTTCTAGTAAAATGACAGAAGTCAGTCAAGATCCGGTTAAATTCTTATTTTTCTTTTAAGTAAGAATTTACTTCAGCCTTTGCTGATTAAACCAGCTTATATTGATCACTGTTTCCTCTGAGTCTTGCTAAGTTGCTATAACCTACTAGCTTGTTTGGTCTGGCTACTTTCATTTTTCTACTTAGCTTTTCTTTACATATTATATTTGAATGTCCAGTGAGACAGTAAGTGCCTCGGGGAAAAAGGCCACGTTCCCTACTTACTCTTTTTCCTCATACCGTGCTAGCATGGTGTACTAAATATATTAAGCAATCAGTAAACATTTTCAAAATTAAATTTGTTTCTTAATTTATGTCTCTTTCAGATTCTACTTTTATTTTTCATCTCATTTTGTTCACATTATCATTCTATTCCCTGCTGAACACCTCTCATTTCTCTCTCCCTTTTTATATTTTTTCGTTGAGACAGAGTCTCACTCCGTTGCCCTGGCTAGAGTGCCGTGGCGTCAGCCTAGCTCACAGCAACCTCAAACTCGTGGGCTTAAGCGATCCTCCTGCCTCAGCCTCCTGAGTAGCTGGGACTACAGGCATGTGCCACCATGCCCAGCTAATTTTTTCTATGTATTTTTAGTTGGCCAATTAATTTCTTTCTATTTTTAGCAGAGACTGGGGTCTCGCTCTTGCTCAGGCTGGTTTCGAACTCCTGACCTCGAGCGATCCACCCGCCTCGGCCTCCCAGAGTGCTAGGATTACAGGCGTGAGCCACCACATCCAGCCTCTCTCTCCCTTTTTAAAAAAAAATTTCTTCAAGCTCCTTCCTACCGTATCTTCTCAGGCTATTCTAGAGCACGGAACTACCAACCATTATATTGATAGTAAAGGGGACCGTAGAGATAATGAAGCCCACCTGGTGTTTGCCCTAGGTGAGGAAACAGGAGACAGTAGGGCCCTGAAGTGACTTGTCCACGGTCACACGGTGAGTTGGTATCAAGCCTGAGATCAGAAGCCAGGCTCCTGAACTTAACTCCCGCTGCTCTTTCGAATCTATCATCCCCTTCCTTCTGTCCCCGTTCTCCTCTATCGTCACCCTTCACTTGTCCATTCCCATCTCCTGTGCCAATAGTTTTAGATCAAATCCAGAGGTGAAAATCTCTTCAAGTCCCAAAGCATGATGACAAATAGAACAGAATTTTGAGCTACATGCAATTAAATTTTGGGGGACCTACCACCTCTTTGGATTTCCCTTAGCTCTTTATGGCCAGTAGGTGTCCCAGAGCCTCCCGACTGAACTGCAAGGACAGGACCGCAGCCCAAGGGACTGGGAGGCTCCTCTCTCTAGCACTGCAGCGCCCAGCCTCCCTTTCTGAGCCTGTCCCCTTCTTCTGCCCTCCTAGACCTCCTGAGGCTTGCGTGCATGCTGAAGTCTGACCCCGAAATGGAATTGTCCCTACAAAAGTATGTGATGGAAAGCATTTGGAAGCAGGTATTTTTATAATTTAGTTTATTGGCTTTTGTGGTGTCAGGGATCTTGGACAGCTGGAGAGATTTTTTAAAACTCAGCAGCTAGTAAAATGTTCCCTTTAAATAAATAAAAAGTATTCTCTATGTGTAGGTGACTGCAAAATTTATTGTTCAAATTGGGATACTCTTAAGAGTGAAAAGGAGCATTATTCATAGTGTACCTGTGAAACAGGCATAAAGTAGGACTGTGTTGCCTTAAATAACTGGGCAGACAGGAGCTGTTGCAAGCATATAAGAACACACATAGCAGAAAGATATCAACTGGATGAACACTGGTACACTATTTTTCTAAGTCACTTGCATTAAATCTTAAGTTTTGAGATTTAACAGTACAGGTAATTAGAATGCTCTGAGCTACCTCTACCTGCCCCCCTCAAAGTTTCTTATTTTATTCTCTTACATCTGGGTTCTCTCGAATTATTAATTCCTTTGAATTATAACTGTCTGTGAGCACTCACCATATGCCGGTCACTCTGCTATTCACGTATTTATTCTTCACAGTCCCCGGTAGATATTTTCAACCTCATTTTATATATGAAAAAAACTGAGACCCAGAAGGTTATGAGAAACTTTCCTGAAGTTGTAAAGTAAAATGTATATAGCTAAGATTTGAACCCTGGTCTGTCTGAATCCTACGATTTTTATATAGGCTGTACGCTATCCTAATACTTGCCTGTTTTAATGCGTAAACCTGTCAAAGTACAGTTGTGCCCTGGAGCAAATCTTTGTAAGCCTGACTACTGGAAAACTTCCTTCAGAGTGCGGGTTGAAGAGGTATCAAGACGCACCCTCTCACCTTCAACCCAGTATCAAAACATTACCTGTAGTGCCTGCCGCTCTTCGACTCTTCAAGGTTTTTGAAGCTCAAAAAGTCAACCGCCCCCCTCCTCTCCCTACCCCCAATAAATATAACACATTATTCTTCTTCTGTTGCAACCAGCTGAGAGCAAGATCTATAGTAATGGGATATAAATGGACTCTGTGAGGTGCAGGGAAAGTTGTGGGTAGCAGTAATAAACATCTGGGAAAGAGGTGTAGCAAAGGGGCTGAAAGGAGGCAAAAGACTTGTCACTGTTTTACCAAGGCCTGCCCCTGCCCCTAAAGAATAGAGGTACTTAAAGATACTATAGTCCTCCTTTCCAAGCTAAAACTCAGAACACATGGTCTGACATAATAATTTAATTTTTAAATTATGTCTGAATAAATGTATTTGAAAAATCAAATAAAATTATTACATGGGTTAGTTAGAAATTATTAAATCACCTTTTATGAAAAGAATAAAATTCCATGAATCCAGGACCATCCTGGGCAATTAGGAAACATGGCTGCTTATTCCCTATACCAGTTCCCTCTTTCATCTAGAAGGTGTGTTTCACATTGTCAAAGAGAATCTGGCACTTCTGTGCTGTTTGGTATAGAAAGTGCAAAGATTTCCCCCCACTGGTTTGCTGTGCACTTAATTTAACAAGCTTCAGCAATGCTGATCGGCAGGGATAATTTGGGAACACTCTCCTCTCCTTCCCCTGTGCCTACTGTAGGTAGGGTTGGAGGGAAGAGGGGAGCTAAATGAAATACACCACCCTGGAGAGGCAGGCATATGTGGTGGCTGAAATGCTGGACCAGGAGTCTGGAGATTTGGGTTCTAGTTTGCTAGTCTCCTCATGTGACCTTGGGAAAGTTGTTTTGTATGTCCGTGCCTCAGTTATCTAATCAGTAAAATGGAGATGGCCGGGGGTGGTGGCTCACGCCTGTAATCCTAGCACTCTGGGAGGCCGAGGCGGGCAGATAGCTTGAGGTCAGGAGTTCAAAACCAGCCTGAGCAAGAGTGAGACCCCTATCTCTACTATAAATAGAAAGAAGTTAATTGGCCAACTAATATATATAGAAAAAATTAGCTGGGCATGGTGGCGCATGCCTGTAGTCCCAGCTACTCAGGAGGCTGAGGCAGAAGGATTGCTTGAGCCCAGGAGTTTGAGGTTGCTGTGAGCTAGGCTGACGCCACGGCACTCACTCTAGCCTGGGCAACAAAGCAAGCCTCTGTCTCACAAAAAAATACATAAATAAACATAAGGATAATAATGCTGATTTTATTTCATTTGAAGATAGAGTAGGATGGAATGTGAAAATATTCCAGAAGGTAACCAGCTATGAAAATACAAGGTTAAATTACATAGCATGCTATTCTTGTCCCTAAACTGTAAATATAGAACAGCCAAAAGGAACATTAGGTCTTTCTCTTACTGTAGTGGCTCATATTGGCATGAGAGAACTAGCAGTTGGGGTAATGGAGTGGACAAAAACTAGCAAGTGTGTTGGTCCCCATTGGAAGAGATTTTGGTAGTGAGCGCATTCCATTCGCATCTGCTCAGTTCTGGCGGGCTGGCTCTGACAGAATGTGTGGTTCCTCACACATTTTGATAACTTCAGTTTTCCCAGAGCATCTCAAAAGGCTCCTTCTTCCCACTGATGATTTTGGGTGTGAGGTGGTATCGGGAGGAAGGGCCCACTGCTGAGGACACATGCTATGAAAACCTGCTCTCCGCTTTGCAGATTGATGACAAACAGCTTCTGGGCTACTTGTCTGAACTTCGCCCAGTAACGATCATGTTTGTGAACCTGGTGTTTAAAGACCAAAACAAAGCAGAAGTCATAGCTTCGGCCATCCAGGATGCCTGCTTGCATGTCACTTCCGTCCTGAAGGCCTTCCGAGGCCAAATCAACAAAGTCTTCATGTTTGACAAGGTGAGCGTGAGGTAGGGGTGGGAACCTGCCAGTAGTTTGAGGGTAGCATTCATGGCCGACCACATTGGTGAGATGGAGGGAACAGATATTAGGAATTTAACCTAAATGTCAGTCTTTATTTATAATTATGATAGCTCACATGGTGGACATGGCACTCTCTGTGTGCCAGGCACCGTCCTCAACACTTTATACACTTGGACTTATTTCATCCTCACGGCTACTCCAAGCGGTAGGCGCTCTTGTTTGTTATTATCCTCATTTGATAGATAAGGATGCCAAGACAAAGTGAGAGTAAGTTTTGCTCATGATTATCCAGCTAGTAAGTGGTGGGCTGGGGTTCAGATCTGCCTTCCCAGCGGGAGCTCCCCACGCTGGGCTGCCTGTCGCGGTGCCCATGGCCTCCAGCCCAGCAGGTGAGATGTATTTCCCCCGGAGTTTAGGTCAGGAGTCTAGTAACCTTCACATCCAGAAGTTTGTTTCCAGTAATCCCCACCTGCCACGTCAACCCCTCCGGGGCCCCTTTCAGTTTCATCCTTGGCAGGGACTGGGCGCTCCTCCAGCTCCCATGGGTTTTCATTCCGTTCTTAATCAATTCACAGAAAAATGGCGTGGTAAATAAATGACCACGGGAGTATTCGCGAGAATTGGTTCTCCATCTCAGGTGTTTTCTGTATCTTAAGAGCAGAGCACCTAACTACTGATCCATGCCCACTCGCTCATTCATTCAGTAAGCATTTATGGAGCATTTTGTAGAAGGCCAAGCGCTAGGGCTGGGCAGCAAAGATGAGTAACTCATGCATTGCTTCGCAGGTAGACAGGAAGCCCACATTCCATACGAGGAAAACTAACTGTGCTGTGAGAATGCTGAGGGAGGGATTAATTACTTCCAGCCTGGTGCCTTCCAGTAGCTTCTTCCAATATTCATTCACGAGGATAAGAAAAGACCATAGAATCTAAGGAAACAGTGTCTTAGTGTTTTGCAGACCCCAGTGCCCACAGTTCCTAGCTGTGTGACCTCAGCAAGTCATTGAACTTCTCGGAGCCTTGAATTATTCCTGTTTGAAGTGGGGGAGGCAGTATTTGCCTCAAATGACTTTGGAGAGTTTTAAGTGATGCAATACGAGTGCAACACTTGCTGCAATGTCTCTCTCACAGCCAAACACTCAATAAATGAGAGCTGCTATTCTCGTTGCCAGCGTGAGTCCAAGGCTCGCTTTGCCAAGCCACTATGTAAATTTCCAGGCAAAGCGGACCCCTTGGTGCCCCCAAAGGGGTTGCTGTCTTTATGCATACCCAGAATCGTGGCTTTTCTTCTCGTGTCAAGACATAGCCTAGCCTCTTTCAGGATCTGACTCTTGATCAAATTCTTTTGAAGAGGGTTGAAGAAACTGAGGTATTTTAGTGTTCTTTCACATTCCATCAGGATGTAACATGTCAAAACTCAAATTTTTTAACCCATCACCCTTTATTCACTATGCCTTTTTCTTACAGACAATAGCATCTGACCGAGGTGATTTTTTTAAGTGACCAATACCAAGAATGCACTCAAGGAGCTAGAAGGCCACATGTAGCCCCCAGGGGCCACAGGTTCCCGACCCCTGGTTGGAACAGTTAAGCTTTATACCAAGAAAACCTACTCTCAGCTTAAGTCTTTATCCCTAAGAATAATAACAGTAACTGGAAATACTTTATGGTTTACAGAGCTTCTTTAATATATACAACATTAATTCTTTCTTTTAGAAGCCAAAGCCGCCTCTATAGGAGGTCTATGTTATATCCATTTTCAGGTTGATAAACTGAAGTTCATAGAGTATAACTGACTTAATCCAAGTTTCCACAGTTGGGAGGTAGCCTGAGAACACAGATTTTCTGACCCCAGAGCAGGTGCCTTTTCCACTGCTCTGCGCTGCTACCTCACAGACTTAAATTTAGCACTTCGCAACACAAGACCTCGGGCCCAGGAGAGAGTAGGCAGGAGCGTGTGCAGAAATAGCTCAGCGCAGCTCATCTCTGCAGCAAAAGCAAGCCCTTCTCTAGGGCTCAAGCCCTACTGCCGATGATGCGCTGGAAGTTATACAAAGTTCACCAGAAATAACATGGGTGTGAGAAAAGTCATGAGGAAATCTAATTCAGAAAGCGAAAACAACTGCTGCCCAGCCGTCCTGTCCTTCCTTCGGGGCTCCGGGCTGGCCCAGTTTAAGGCTCGCCCTCCCCCAGCGGTGTCTGCTGCCTGTCCCCCCGTGTCACAGGGCTGCTCCTTCCTCTGTGTCTTTGGTTTCCCGGGCGAGAAGGCGCCGGATGAGGTCACTCATGCTCTGGAAAGCGCCGTGGATATATTTGACTTCTGCTCTCAGGTCCAGAAAATCCAGTGAGTGCTGACCCCCGTCCCACCTGGTGTCCCCTGACGCTTTTGAGGGAGAAGGGATGGGGGCGGGCACTCAGGGAACAGAAAAGGAGGAGTAGGAACTTGGTTTGTGTCCCAGGCTGTCCCTCTTCCCATCTCCAGCCCATGCACACTTGCAGTAAAGGAATTCCAATGGAGAAAGAATTCTTTATAGGAAATCCCTTCCCACCCCTCCCCACCCCTGCCCTCCTTCCCCCTTCTCCCCTCTCCCCTGCTCACTTTCTCTGTGCGCATTACCTTTCTCTCTTCCCCCATGACTCTCCTCCCCAGCACCGTGTCCATCGGCGTCGCCAGCGGCATTGTCTTCTGTGGGATCGTGGGACACACCGTGAGACACGAGTACACAGGTGTGCGGAGCCAGCTCGTCTCTGCTTGTCTTTCAGCAAACGGGGTGCCTTGCCCCTGGGCCTTGTGGGAGGAAGCCCCCAAATGAGGGAGACGTGGGCCCCAGAAAGTCTGTAGTCACCCAGATGGAAGGAAGCGGTGCAGCTTTACCCACTGACAGTTCAGGGCTTTGCAAACGTACGTGCGTCTCTGGGGCTGTGCGTGAGCACGTTTGCACAGTCATGGGGGAGGGGACCAGGGGCAGGCCGCATGCTCATGGAGTGAGGGGCTTTTATAGTAACTGCTGGCTAAGGTTAAACAGTTCCTCCTCTTAATTCCTGGAACAGGTTAGGCCTGCTTCTGAAAAAATTATGAATATTGGCATTACTGAAAAATAATGATACTCTCAAAAGAGAGTAGTAATAAGTAGATGTTATCTCCAGATTTCACGACCCTTACCATTATTTCTCTCTTCATTCCTTTTGAGATGTTCAGCAATAATACATCTAAACTCCTGGATACATCTAAAATACTGAAATAGGTTATGTCTGAAATGATACAATGTCTGAGATTTTCTTCAAAATAACAGATGGTGGGGAGGCCGGGTGTGGTGGCTCACGCCTGTCATCCTAGCACTCTGGGAGGCCTAGGCGGGCGGATTGCTCAAGGTCAGGAGTTCGAGACCAGCCTGAGCAAGAGCGAGACGCTGTCCCTACTATAAATAGAAAGAAGTTTATCGGCCAACTAATATCTATATATACAAAAAATTAGCTGGGCATGGTGGCACATGCCTGTAGTCCCAGCTACTTGGGAGGCTGAGGCAAGAGGATTGCTTGAGGCCAGGAGTCTGAGGTTGCTGTGAGCTAGGCTGATGCCACGGCACTCACTCTAGCCTGGGCAACAAAGTGAGAGTCTATCTCAAAAATAAATAAATAAATAAATAACACAGGGTGGGGAGCAGGTGGGGGAGTAGATGGGGCAGGACTGGCCATGGGTAACGGCTGCTGGGTTGGGTGACACATGTATGGAGATTCATGATACTGTGCTTTATTGCACAATCAAATGTCTCCATAATAAACAGCTAAAAAAAGAATATCTTGATTGGAAGTATTCAAGTTTATGTCAAAATGAAACATCCAATACCTAATTTGTGGTAATACTGAGGGTTTACAAGCAGCCAGGCACTACCCTCTGAGATAGGTACAATTATCACCCCATTTTATAGATTAGGAAACTGAGGCAGGAAGAGTTAAAAGTAACCTGCCTAGCAATTTGCATATGGTAGTTAGAGGTAGAGCTGTGATTGAAACCTGGACAGTCTGGCTTCAGAGTCAGATGTTCAAATATCCCCTGAATCAATCCTCCATGCGCACTCTTTCCAGCCCTGTTTACTAACTCTCAATAAATTACCAAATGAAGGTTCATTCACAGGAGCACAAAGACGCAATTTTGTGCCTCATGTAGGCCCAAACTTGTGCCCGTTCACATTATAGCTCTACCTTATCTGAGCAGATTATCTTCTTGGCCTCCCAAGTGAGGCAGAAACTTTGCTAATGGCTGAGTTAACTCTCTGCTTATTTTTTTTAAGAGCCATTGGCTGAATATGGGTAGTTAAAGGCTAGACTTGTGTGTCACTGATGAGAGATAGAGGAGGTAAAGGGTAAAATGCCATTTGGGGACAGCACGCCTCAGATCACACGCAGTTCAATGGCTGTTTTTCCCCTGATCTTTGACTTTCTCCTATCTGTTGCAGTCATTGGTCAAAAAGTCAACATAGCTGCCAGGATGATGATGTCCTACCCAGGAATTGTGACCTGTGACTCTGTCACCTACAATGGCAGCAACCTACCAGCCTACTTTTTTAAAGAGCTTCCAAAGAAAGTTATGAAAGGTGTTGGAGATTCTGGACCATTCTATCAGTGTTTGGGCCTTAAAGAGAAAGTGTGAGTGTGGGGCATTGATTTTGCAGTACATTCTATAAAAAAGAGGGGAGTCAGGATAGCAAAGCAATCAGTCGCCCATTTGAAGTTTGAAGCCAATTCATGAACTTGAAATCTATTCTTTCCCCAGACTGAGGCCCAGACTCCAAAATCCTTCACGTTCCCTCCATCCTTCTGATATCACAGCATGGTGGAAGATCCCATTCTCCCATCAGGCCTGAGAATCTGAGGGTGATTCGTCAAAGGTTGCGCAAACAGAACAGAGAACCCTTCCATTTGAGTATCTATTTGTAGCCAGATAGACCCAATCATCATCATTAAATACTTACTGATTATGCCAACTGAGTGCTCAGACATTATTAGGGTTAAAAAAAAAGTGTACGATATTATTCCTCCTCTAGGTCTTTAGTGAACCGTATTCCCCCAAAGCCCAGCTTAGATGTGTGAGTCTTGCTTTGAAGCTTAAAACCTTTCTGCGGCTTCCAGTTATTTTCATGATAATGTTCCAATTCCTTGCTGTGACACACCTGGTAACCACATGCCTTTCCAACCTCATCTCCTCCTGGGCCCCCTCTTCTGGGTTGTGTTAGTAGCTTGTCCTCAGCAGTACCCACTCCACCCCTGGGCCACTGGGAAAACCATGGTTAATTTTTTTTTTTTTTTTTTGAGACAGAGTGTCACTCTTCTTGCCTAGGCCAGAGTGAGTGCCATGGCGTCAGCCTAGCTCACAGCAACCTCAGACTCCTGGGCTCAAGCAATCCTGCTGCCTCAGCCTCCCGAGTAGCTGGGACTACAGGCATGTGCCACCATGCCCGGCTAATTTTTTCTATATATATTAGTTGGCCAATTAATTTCTTTCTATTTTATAGTAGAGACGGGGTCTCGCTCTTGCTCAGGCTGGTTTCGAACTCCTGACCTTGAGCAATCCGCCCGCCTCGGCCTCCCAGAGAGCTAGGATTACAGGCGTGAGCCACTGCGCCCGGCTCCATGGTTAATTTTTGAAACCCAGCTCAAGGATCTATTCCTCAATGAGGGTGTCCGTGAAACTAACCCATCCCAACTAGACAGTGCCGCTCTTTCGTCCTCTGTGTGCCCGTCCAGCACCTGCCTCTGTTAGACACTCGTCACTCCACATGACATTTATTGACTGGGTACATTTTTCACTTGTTACACTGTGAGCTCTTTGAAAATACCAACTATTTCTTGTTCATCTGATATCCCCAGTGCTTGCTTGATATACAGTAAGTCCTCAATAATGACGAATAAACGAATAGCTCGGAAAGCAGAAAGTCATTACTCTTTATAATGGCAGCTACCGGCCGGGCGCGGTGGCTCACGCCTGTAATCCCAGCACTCTGGGAGGCCAAGGCTGGCGGATCGCTCGAGGTCAGGAGTTCGAAACCAGCCTGAGCAAGAGCGAGACCCCAGTCTCTACTATAAATAGAAAGAAATTACTTGGCAACTAATATATATAGAAAAAATTAGCCGGGCATGGTGCGCATGCCTGTAGTCCAGCTACTCGGGAGGCTGAGGCAGCAGGATTGCTTGAGCCCAGGAGTTTGAGGTTGCTGTGAGCTAGGCTGACGCCACGGCACTCACTCTAGCCTGGGCAACAGAGTGAGACTCTGTCTCTAAATAAATAAATTAATTAATTATAATGGCAGCTAGAATCTCGGTCTTCAAGGATCACATATCACAAATTTGGGGCTGCAGTTAGTTCAAAGTGTCTTTATCATTCACACTTGTATTCTTAAGGCTTAGCGCCGTGCTTGGCATACACGGCCATCCATGAAGTGTTGTCTGAATAAATGTGTGAATAAATAATAATTTTTAGTGAGTGTTTGTTAGATGTTAGGCACTTTACCTCAAAATACACATTTTAGTCTTGACATCAACCCTATGAGGTAGAAACTATTATCTCCATTTTATAAATGTGAAAGCTGAGGCTTAGAGATGTTAAGCGACTTGTCTGTGCTTGGCCATAGCTCTAGTAAGCAATGGAGCCAAAATTCAAGTGTCACAGTAATGTGGCATCACAGGCAACCACAAAGCCTCAGTGGCATGCACAATAAACATTTATTTATGTCACAAATCTGCAGGGCTCAATTGACCCTGGCTGGAATTTAGTGAGCTCGCTTTGTTTTATTCACATGCCTGGGGGTCAGCAGGTTGTCTGCTGATCCAGGATGGCTGAGATAGCTGGGGCCGTCCGGCTGACGTAAGTGGGGCAATTTGGCTCTATGTGTCCCGTCCTCCATCACCCTTGTTGTCATGGCAATATCAGAGGCGCAAGGCCCAATGCACAAGCATTTTCTAAGCCTCTTCCTAGGTCTTATGTTTGCTAATATTCCATTGACCAACACATTCACAAGGCTGAGCCCAGAGTAGGAGGGCACTGCCAAGTTACATCGAAAGGGGCACAGATACAGGTAGGGGTGAGGAAGTGGGGCCATCATGCAGTCAGTCTACCACACCCAGGGCTATCTGACCCCAAAGCCTGTACTCTTCACTATTTTCCTATACCATCTCTGCAGATGTAGAGTGTAGTAATATACATACAGGTATGAACAGGGCCTGATTCCTGCCCTGAAAATCCACAGTCTAATGAGGAAGACGAACATATACAAAATTAGCTCTATGTTACAGGGGAGACTTTGATATGTGCTATAAGGGAGGTATAACAAAGTAGCATGGAAGTACAGAGAGGGAAATAATTCATTCTGACTAAAAGGCTCCATCAAGAGATAGTATTGGCTGGGTGCAGTGGCTCATGCCTGTAATCCCAGCACTTTGGGAGGCTGAGGTGGGAGAATGGCTTGAGGCCAGGAGTTCAAGACCAGCCTGGGCAACATAGCAAGAACCCATCTATACAAAAGATAGAAAATTAGCTGGGCATGGCAGCTGGAGTCTATAGTCCTAGCAACTGGAGAGCATGAGGCAAGAGAATTGCTTGAGCCAGGAGTTCAAGGCTGCAATGAGCTCATGCCACTGCACTCCAGCCTGGGCAAAAGAATGAGACTCTGTCTCAAAAAGAGAGAGAGAGAGAGATAGAAAGAGAGAGAGAGAGAAAGAGAGAGAAAGATAGTCTTATGTGGTGGGCAAGCATATGAACCCCTGGCCTAGGTTTAGAGACTGTCTATATCCTGTGGCAACAATAGCTATAGGATCTTGGGCAAGTTAAACTCTCTGTACCTCAATTTCCTCATTTGTAAAGTGAACATAATAGTAGTACTTCTTAATAATGTTTTTGTCAAAAGGAAATGATACATGGAAAGCAGTTGGAACTGTGCCAGACACACAGCATGTGCTCGACAAGGGTAAGTTAGTATTGTTTCAGCAATTGGTGGAAACTTCCCAGATGTGAGTCTCTGCACCACACACAAGTCTATTGGATCATATATTAGGTGTCTGGTTATACCAGTGCAGACTCAACTAGCATCCATTGAGCAATGTGCCAGGTGCTATGGAAATAGCTGTTTTGTAAGTTGTTTGGGTTCTCTATGACCAAGCAAGAACTTCTCCTTTCTCCTTCTCTTGGCATTTACAACCCTTGAGTCAGGGGACAGACTCTTGTTAGAGATTAGAAAGGAGGCTTTCTGGGCACTAAGAACTAGTACTCTTGCTCTCAGTGTTTCTCTGCTTTGAATCTAACATCTGTTCTTTTTTTCTTCTCTTCAGCGTGTTTGGTATGGCATACCTCATCTTCAAGAGAAATGAGGGTTACCCCTTGCTGGGTAGGTAGCGGGGCTTGATTTTCTTTGTTCAAGAAAACATTCAGAGGCCAGGCGCGGTGGCTCACGCCTGTAATCCTAGCTCTCTGGGAGGCCGAGGCGGGTGGATGGCTCAAGGTCAGGAGTTCGAAACCAGCCTGAGCAAGATTTTTCTACTAAAAATAGAAAGAAATTAATTGGCCAACTAAAAATATATAGAAAAAATTAGCCGGGCATGGTGACACATGCCTGTAGTCCCAGCTACTTGGGAGGCTGAGGCAAAAGGATTGTTTGAGCTCAGGAGTTTGAGGTTGCTGTGAGCTAGGCTGATGCCACGGCACTCTAGCCTGGGCAACAGAGTGACACTCTGTCTCAAAAAAAAAAAAAAAAGTAAAACACACACACACACGCACACAAGAAAAATAACAGTGATGGGGTTGTAACCTAAGATGATTTTTATTTTGTTTTTTCTTTTCCAAGTTTTCCATATTTTCTGCTGCAAACATATGTTGGTTTTATAATCAGAAAAAAAGTGCGATTTATTTTTACTAAAAATTTAGTTTGCTCTTATGATAGAAATAATCTAAACAATTTTTGAAGGCAAACTGAATTTTCTTATTATTGTTAATGTTTCCACTAGCCCTGAGATAAGCACAATTTTCATTTATTGAGGGCAAGTTTCCTTCATCACAGAATAAGAAATAAAAATATTGTATCCATAATTGTTCAGTATATAAATTCTAACTTTAATAAATGTATTCCCTACTGTTGCAGTTTACATATTACTTCTAGTGTGTTGTATTAAAAAAATAAATAAATAAAAATAAACTTTGGATTTGATAGCCTTGGTTTAATTCCTGGTTGAGCAAGCTAAGCAAATGTCACTTTTCTATATTATAATTGAATGGACATTATAGTGATCATTGTAAGAATACTTTCCCTCACAGCTTGTGGTAATCAAATCAAAATATAAAACCACATTGTTAACTGGAAAGCTCTAGAAGACAATTTTTTAAAATTTTAAGAGAACACATCACTTCAAGAAAGTCCACGAACAATACTGTGGATATTCCAAGGATATTGTTAAAAGGGTGTCACTGTGTGTCTTTTTATATCTCTAGAATATTTTATATTGATTGAGTTTAATCTTTTTTAAAAAAAATTAAAACAACAGGACGTGAAAAGGAAATCCAATACTTCAAGTGTACTATGGAGGAATTTTTGATGTGTAACTGCAGCAGAGTCCTAATGTACGAAGGATTATCAGGATATGGAAAAAGCCAGATACTTATGGAAATTAAGTACCTGGCCCAAGGTGAGAACCACAGGTGAGTGTCTTGGTATTATCATTCCCTTGTGAACTCAGAGAAGCCTGACATCCTTAAGAGATTTATTTATTTTAATGTTCCTCTCCTCTATATAACTTACCTTATGTAAACAATACACAATCTATAATTGCTGGGTGCCATGACTCTTGTGCTAAATAGATAATTTTTTTTAAGAGACAGGGTCTTGCTCTGTTGCCCATGCTGGAGTGCAGTGGCTTTATCATAGTTCACTGCAGCTTGGAACGCCTGGGCTAAAGCAATCCTCCAGCCTTAGCCTCCCAAGTAGCTGGGACTACAGGTGCATACCACCACACCCAGCTAATTTTTCTTAATTTTTTGTAGAGATGGGGGTCTTGCTACATTGCCCAGGCTGTCTTGAACTCCTGGCCTCAAGTGATCCTCCCACCTTGGCCTCTGAAAGTGCTGGGATTACAGGTGTGAGCCACTGTGCCTGGCCTAAATAGATAATTAATGATAAACATACTGAACCAAGAAAAAAAAAAACTGGGGGCTGACCCATGGAAATCCTGATTTAATGCCAGGGAGGGCTTAGGTACTTTAATGCTTCTGAAGTAATCCCAATATGCAGACAGGTTGAGATGCTGAAATCAAGGCTAGATTCAGTCTACAGAGCAAACACGTACGTTTATCCAGCTACCTGCCAGGGGGAATCACTAGTTCAAACCAGTTAGCCCTGAGAGTGGGGATAGAGAATAACAGGTCTCTGGAATTTTGTCATTTATCTATTTTCACATAAGGAATGTCCTGAGGGCTCTCTTTGGGACAATCCACCTGTCTCCCTCATGGAAGCGGATAGTACAGTCTTTACCAACAGTAATGATGACCACAGGATGATGATGTCTCCTATCGCTTCACCATCTACCTTAAAGGCTACAAGGGGGAAAAATGCTTGTTAACCTTACATTATTTTTAGCTGTATTTCTATGTCTCTTTAATGTCAGGGTTGAAAAGGGCCGGTTTTAGAAATGTGCTTAACATTGCCGAGGGCATAATTCACAACGGCCAGAAGAGATTAATTTATTCATTTATTCAATCACTTACTGAATTCCTAGTATGTTCCAGGAATTGTTAAGTGCTATGTTGGTTAGCCGGGGCTGCTGCAGCAAAGTACCACAAAAATGGGGTGACTTAAACCCGTGGACCCCAGACTTTCGGACACAAGGGACTGGTTTCATGGGAGACAATTTTTCCATGGACCTGGGGTGGGGGGAGCTCAGGCGAAGATGCAAGCAATGGGGAGCAGCTGCAAATACAGATGAAGCTTGTGGCGGTTGGCTGGAATCTCTGGCGTTCCTTGGCCTGTAGAAGCTCTGCTCTGATCTCTGCCTTCATCGTCACATAGCACTCTCCCTGCTGTCCCTGTCCAAGTTTCCCCTTTTTATAAAGACATCAGTCCATAACCCCCATCTATGGAATGTTAAGCTGAGAAGTAAAATTAATATATATATTTAAAAAAATAAATAAAAAATAAAGACATCAGTCCTATTGGATGAGGGGCCCACCCTACTGTAGTATGATCTCATCTTAACTAATTACATCTGCAACGACCCTATCCCCAAGTAAGGTCACATTTTAGGGGGGATACAAATCAGCCCATAATAAGCACTAAAGCCCTGAATACTAATAATGTCTGATCCCTGCCCTCAAGGAACGCTCACAGAAGAGGAGACCCCGAGTTAACAGTAGAGATAGAATGTGGTGAGGGCAGTGGCAGAGGCGTGCAATGGAGGTCTGTGGAAGCTCAGAAGAGGGCCGGGAGTGTCACACAGCCTTGGGGCACTGAGGAAGGTTTCTTGGAGGCTGGGTCTGAGCTGAGATTTACAGATGAATAGCGAAGGAGGAGCTGTGAGAAGTGATAGTATTCTGAGCTGATTCTGAGCTGAGGAGACAGCTCGGGTGTGCAGGGAGCTCTCACCAGCTTCTTGTTGCTAGAGGGCAGGTTGCTAGGCAGAGAGTGGCAAGGAATGACAGAATGAGGCTTTGAAAAGTCTTGTATGTCTCCCATCCAAGTACTGACCAGGCCCGACCCTGCTTAGCTTCCGAGATCAGACGAGATGAGGCGCAGTGTGGTACGGCCATAGACAAAAGTCTTGTCTGGCACATAAAGGAGTCTGGGTTTGTGCCGAGAACCACTGAAAAATTTTAAATAGGAGAGCAACACAAGAAGACTTGCATTTAACTAGATCCTTCAGGTTTCTGTGACAGTGATACATTCCGAGGGCCATGACCCTCAGAATGGTGGCATGCTCATCAAATTGGTACTCACTGACTAAAACTATGGTGCTCAAAAAATGGTAGTGTTCACCAGGGATTTGGGGAGGGGGGGAGACCCACATCTTAGGGATGTGGCGAGCATTGTCGGGGGGAAGGGATTACCTCTAACCCTTTTTAGGGAGAGGCAAAGATATACATTGTAACCAAAATGTCTAAAAAAAAACCTGTTATCGGGAGGTGGGCAGGTGGAAGGGGGGTGGAGGAGAAGGGTATGTACTTACACGGTGGGTGTGGTGCGCACCACCTGGAGGCTGGACACGCTTGAAGCTCTGGCATAGGCAGGGTGGGGGAGGGGGGCAGGGGCAATATATGAAACCCTAACAATATCCGTACCCCCATAATATGAGGAAATAAAAGGAAAAAAATTGAATAGTGGCATGCTATTGTGGTAGTGTCGGTGAGAGTATGAGGACCTGAACCAGGGCAGTGATGGTAGGACTAGAAAGGAGGGCATAGTAGGCTAAATTATTCAGGGTTTAGGATCATAATAGAATGAGGCTGTGTTATCAGAAGCAGGAATAACGAACAGCTTTCAGATAGCTTGGCTAATCTCCATCATTGCAGCTGAACATGAGGAGTCAGAGCTTTCCTTCAACCTTTCTTATTTTCGAAAAATACATTTTAAAACTCTCTTTTGTTTCTTGATTTTTCTCATAAACAGGACTATTGCCATTGCACTGACTAAGATCAGCTTCTATGAAACTTTTTATACCATCCAGTCCCTCATGGCCAATGTACTAGATCTGGATACTTGTAAACATTATAAAGAACGGCAGGCCAACCTCCAAAATAAAGTCAAGACACTGTTGGATGAAAAGTTTTACTGTCTTCTTAATGACATCTTTCATGTCCAGGTAACTAGCTAGCGTTAGACTTCTGCAAGAAATAGCCATTGGCAGGCACAGTAACTCTTCCTTCATGTTTTATGACTTAGCATCTCTTTGACCTTTATTATCCTTTTTTTTTCCTCTCATCTAGAGCATCCAGGTGGTTAGTAAGTGGCTCCCAATCTTCCTTGAATGTATATCCACATTCTTGAGGTGTATTGAAGGTATCTAGAAATACCATACTCAAGAAAATTCATATTTTTGGTCACCTTTTCCATCATAGCAATACTATACTAGATGGTCTGGGGCACAAAGTCACTCTGCTCTCACAAGTGCCTGTCAATGCAAAGACAGAGTGTGCCCTGTTCTTTCCTGTATCTATTAGATTCAATGACATAGACTATTAGAGCAGGAAGGGACAGTATGGATCTAACACTTGAAGATTTTAAGGCAAAGAACAGTTAAGTATTTTGCCCAAAGTTACCACAGCTAGGAGTTCCCTTTGCTATTTTCCCATACTCAGTATTCTCATAATTCTTTGTGCAGTTCCCTATTTCACGAGAGGTTTCCAGAATGAACAACTCGAGAAAGCAAAAGCAATTGGAAGCATTGTTTATGAAGATCTTGGAGCAAGTAAGAACGTCTGTGGGTCAAGCAATGGGGGGAGGAAAACTGGGCAAATGACTACAAAGCCAGGTGGCCGGAGGGATTCAGACTCTATTGGCAAGAGGTTTTAAAGTTTGTGAAAGCTTTGTTCTAAAGGGCTTAATTCTCCTCCATCTTTCCAAACCTCGAGCTAAGAGTCTGTTCAGAGTTTAGGTATCCTTGAAAGGAATCCCTTAAGTCTGGCTTCTCCCAGTGCTTTTTGTTCCTCCTCTGTACGAAACATACCAAAGCAGTTAGGTGTGCAGGCTCTGTAGCCAGTCTACTGAGACTCGAACCCCTAGGCCTATCACTTGTACCTGAGCAACCTTGAGCAAGAGACTTAACCTACGCTTCTGTTGTATCATCTATCAAATTGGGGGAAATAGCAGTACCTGGCTCACATGGGTGTAAGGTTTAGATGCCTAGATGATATATAAAAACTTAGAACAGTGCCTCTTTCATAGGAAACACTCAACAAGTGTTCTCGCTCTCTCTGAGAAATCTCGTGATTCCAATTTTCTACTATATGTTGATGATCCCCAAATTTGTATTTTGGCCCCTACCTCTCTTATATGTACCAGAACCATTTTCCCAAGAACTTTCTATATATGCCACGGGGATGTTGTAACTGGCACAGAGTTCAGTGTCTAACATCAGAGTCATTTTTTTCCTGCTACAATGCCCTTTTTTCTCTATCCTCATCCTGACCCTTGATTTAGTTAATGGCAAATTATGCATCATTTAAAGTTATCCCTGCCGCCTCCTTCACCCATATCCCTCACATCTACTCAGTTGCCAAGTCCTACTACTTCTACCTTGGACCATCTCTGGACTCCCTTCATCTTCTGTTCCTCACTGCAGTGAAAGCTGGGGAGACGGTTTCTTCTGTTGAAATATGTCACACAATGGGAAGGTAGGGGCTGCAATGCAAGCAGCTGACTCTAAGACGCAAGCTCCATATTTTGTTTAAAACTGTATCTCGGCCAGGCGCGGTGGCTCACGCCTGTAATCCTAGCACTCTGGAAGGCTGAGGCAGGGGATTGCTCAAGGTCAGGAGTTCGAAACCAGCCTGAGGAAGAGCGAGACCCCGTCTCTACTAAAAATAGAAAGAAACTAATTGGCAAACTAAAAAAAATATAGAGAAAAAATTAGCCGGGCATGGTGGTGCATGCCTGTAGTCCCAGCTACTCGGGAGGCTGAGGCAGGAGGATCGCTTGAGCCCAGGAGTTTGAGGTTGCTGTGAGCTAGGCTGATGCCACGGCACTCTAGCCTGGGCAACACAGTGAGACTCTGTCTCAAAAAAAAAGAAAATAAGACTGTATCTCCAGCACCTAGAACAGTGCCTGACCGTAATAGATGCACAATAAATGCTTCATGAGTAAATAAATAATTCAGACTAGTTAGGGAAGGGTAGTCTATATGAGAAAATGATCTGCTTTTGGGTGTAACATATACCACAATTCGAGCTAGACTAGTGTAAACTGCCAGCATGGCAAGGACTAGGTCAGTTTCCTTTAGCACCCAGTCCAGCGGGTGCTCAGTGAGCATGAGTTTAATATATGTGAGTTGAGCAAATGTCAAGTAGACATCCCCAGGAGATCTTCAATGGTCAGTAGATTAAAGTGACTTGTAGTTAACGTATCAGTTATTTTTATGTAATGGGAACTTTTACTTGGCTTTTGTGGTTACCTCTACAACTCCATTTATCCTACAAATTTGCATTACTTTTACACAAAAATTTGACCAAGTAAGAGTCCATTCCAGCCACCTATGTCCAAATTGCCACAAATCTCAAGTTAATGGAACGTAAATCAATACAAAGTTATTGAAAAGAAAAAGATGTAACTTAGCTGGTTCTTTCTCTTCATCAGCAAACCACAAAACTCAGTGCATACCCATATACACAGATAAAAAGCTGAACTCCTACAGCATTTTTCTTTCTGTTTCTCTATCTTGTCCAGACAGTGAAAGAGGAAAGGATTATTTTCATCATTGACGAGGCCCAGTTTGTGGATTTGACCTCCTGGGCCTTTATGGAGAAGCTGATTCGGCAAGTCCCTATCTTCATCATTATGTCTCTGGCTCCCTTCCTCAGCATCCCCTGTGCAGCAGCCCATGCCATACTGAAGAACAGGAATACAACCTATGTCACCCTCGGTGCCATACAGCCGAAGGACATCCACAACAAGGTCTGTCTAGACCTCAACGTGAGCAGCATCCCCAAAGAACTGGACTTGTAAGTAACCTGTTTCTTTTTCTTTTGTTTTTTTTTGTGAGACAGAGTCTCACTCTGTTGCCCGGGCTACAGTGCCGTGGCGTCAGCCTAGCTCACAGCAACCTCAAACTGCTGGGCTCAAGCGATCCTGCTGCCTCAGCCTCCTGAGTAGCTGGGACTACAGGCATGTGCCACCATGCCCGGCTAATTTTTCTATATATATTTTTAGTTGGCCAGTTAATTTCTTTCTATTTATAGTAGAGACGGGGTCTCGCTCTTGCTCAGGCTGGTTTCCAACTGCTGACCTTGAGCCATCCACCCGCCTCGGCCTCCCAGAGTGCTAGGATTACAGGCGTAAGCCACCACGCTGGGCTAAGTAACCTGTTTCTAACCCGAGGTCTTGAAGTCTACATTTATTCCACAGATCCAGACTTCATCAGATTCTTTTTTTTTTTTTTTTTGGAGACAGAGTCTCACTCTGTTGCCCGGGCTAGAGTGCTGTGGCGTCAGCCTAGCTCATAGCAACCTCAAACTCCTGGGCTCAAGCAATCCTTCTGCTTCAGCCTCCCAAGTAGCTGGGACTGCAAGCATGCACCACCATGCCCGGTTAATTATATATACATATATATATATTAGTTGGCCAATTAATTTCTTTCTATTTTTAGTAGAGACAGGGTCTCGCTCTTGCTCAGGCTGGTTTTGAACTCCTGACCTGGAGCAATCCGCCCGCCTCGGCCTCCCAGAGTGCTAGGATTACAAGCGTGAGCCACCGCGCCCGGCCTGCATTAACCTTTTGATCTAGGAATCCCAATTCTAAGAAATCTATACTAAAGATATATTGACAAAAATATGAAGTGACATGTGGACAAGGTTTTTATTGAGACATTGTTTGTATTAATAAAAGATAGAAACAACCAAAGGTCAACCCCTAAGGAGATAGGTTGAATAAACTAGGATGTGTCCACACAATAAAAAGAAATAAGAAAGATCTGATGATCTGGAAGATCACCAGGATATATTGTTGAGTGAAAAACAAGGAGCAGTCCAGTATGCAGTGTGCATAACCTGCTGTCTTTTACTTTAAAAGGGGTGAAGTAAATGTGTATGGGTGCATTTGTCTATATTTTTTAAAAGAAATATTGGAAAGGTAAACCAAAAGCTAATCAAAATGATTACCTATAGGGTGAGCAAGACTGAGGAAGTTACCTTATTATATAGTTTTGGCTTTGGAAGGTTATGTTTTATGTAATTTAAAAAGTTAAATAAAAAGAAAAAGCCGTCTCCCAAAATAGAAAACAAATGGAAACAAATGAAGAATGAGAAGTTATTTCCAAGTGATTGAGAAGACTCAAATATTTTTCCTTCCTACAAGATGGATCTTCGATATGAACAGGTTGCCTTGTTTTCACCTCAGGTACCTGGTGGAGGGAAGCTGTGGGATTCCATATTACTGTGAAGAATTGCTAAAAAACCTCGACCACCACAATGTTTTCATTTTCCAACAAATGGAGTCTGAGGAGAAGACGAAGGTGACCTGGAATAACCTGTTCAGTGAGTCCTGCAGTGCCGGTTCTTGCTCACTCTGTTCCGTGTTAAAAAGTCCTTATGCGGGAACGGGCCCTTCCACAGGCTGCTGCTGTTCCCAACAGTGGACTCCGGGGTTCTTGTCTTCTTGAAATGGAAGAACCAAAGCAAGAGACGATTTTTAAGCAGCAAGCAGCAAAGCTTATTAAAGTGAAAGTTTACTCTTAAAGGGGTTAAGAGCAGGCAGGCGTCTGAGCAGATTGTGGCCCTGGGTGGGGTTCCTGTGTCATAATCAGCAGGTGCTAGTACACTCAGGAAGGGACAGGAGCAGGCACGCGTCCCAGTAGACAGTGGCCCTGGGGCCTCTGTGTCATATACCTTTTCCTTTTGTCTGGCCTCTCCTCCTTCCTGACATTGTTTCTTCTCCTTTTTTTCTTGACCAATGAGGACGTCGTCTCCTTCCTGCTGTTGGGCGGAGTGCGTGGCTAGGTGGGGGTGTGTGGTGGATGTCCCAAGCCCATGTGGAGGGCGGGGGCAAAATGTAAGGTATAACCTGGCCTGTGAGTTTCTTGTGACAGTTGTGGTTCCCCTTATCTTGTTATTGTTACAGTGTGTTCTCTTACTCAGCATCCCATTAGTTTAAGTTGCTTGCTTTTGCATTTTCTCTGCCCCTGTCTCACTTTTCTTATGCTAACATTGGTGACACTGACAGCTCCCCTTATCTTGCAGTGTGTTTTCTTACTAAGTGTCCTGTTTGTTTCCACTGCCCCTTCCCTTCCCTACCTCCTCTGCTCACGTCTCACTCTCCTACCTAAGCTAACACTTCCTGCAGGGTCAGAGGGTTTGCAGGAAGCAAGAAATACTGGCTCTGGTCTGCCAGATCATAAGAGAACTCAGTATTGCCCAGGACTCACTGGACTGATCTAAAGAACATGCACCCATAATACACGTGAAAGAACACTGAGAAATTTTAAGGCCCAGAGTCAGAACCGAAGGGGAGCTTAGATGTTATCTAGAAAAAATTTCTCTTGTTTCCGGGAGGTAAAATTACTAGGTCAAAGAGAGTGGTAAGTTTCCTACACTACAGAAACATACCAGGGGGATGAAATTTGATATGACGGCATGATGGAGGCCAGTTGGAATTTATTAAGAAATTCATTAAGAAATTCTTAATTTATTAGTAAGAAAATAATTTTAATGCAGGAAGAAGGGTGGGGATCAGAGAATGGGGTAAGGATGCAAGTTGGAAAACAGAGGATGAATGAAGGCTAGAGACACTTACAGCTACCTTTTTACTGAAGCGTTTTTGTTTGTACCTTTTGGTGTTTCTGAGTTCCAGATTCAAACCCTGCCATAGAACTCACCGCCATGTTGCTCCTTGGGTCCCGAGTCTCACCATTAATTGGTTTCTCTCACTCCATGTCATCTTCTGTTTTGTTTTACATATAACGTCCAGGGGCTTCAGTTGTACTTAGAAGGAGGAATAGGGGAAAACATGTCAACCTATCTCCTGAGAGCGAAGTCTCTTATTTTTTGTGTGACTCAAAAAAAAAAATGCTGTTGTTGTTGTTTTGTTGTTTGTTTTTTGTTTGTTTTTTTGTTTGTTTGTTTGTTGTTTTTGAGACAGAGTCTCACTTTGTTGCCAGGCTAGAGTGAGTGCTGGCTCAGCCTAGCTCACAGCCAACCTCAAACTCCTGGGCTCAAGCAATCTCTCGCCTCAGCCTCCCAGTAGCTGGGACTACAGGCAGCCCACCATGCCGGCTAATTTTTTCCATATATTTTTAGTTGGCCAATTAATTTCTTTCTATTTTTGGTAGAGACGGGGTCTCGCCTTGCTCAGGCTGGTTTCAAACTCCTGACCAGCCTCTGCGTGCAGTGAAAAGATAATGAGAGGCTAGAGACACTTACAGCTACCTTTTTACTGAAGCGTTTTTGTTGTACCTTTTGTGTTTCTGGTTCCAGATTCAAACCCTGCCATAGAACTCACCGCCATGTTGCTCCTTGGGTCCCGAGGTCCCTCACCATTATAATTTGGCTTCTCTCCACCTTCCATGTCATCTTGTGTTGTTTTACATATAACGTCCAGGGGCTTCAGTTGTACTTAGAAGGAGGAATAGGGGAAAACATGTCAACTCTATCTTCCTGAGAGCGAAAGTCTCTTATTTTTTGTGTGACTAAAAAAAAAAAAAAAAAAAAA